TAGCTTTGAAAAAAATTGAGTAGTTTACGGAAATCACGTAAACTACCCTGGATCCACCCTTGTGGCCCTCAAATCTAAACCCAACAAACTAAATTCCAATTTAATCTTTGATTTAGCCATGTCCTAACTTTGATTGGTCCAGTGGTTGTTTCAGGGTATTGGTTTAGTTTAAAGGTCATTCACTGGAAACTTTAAACAGAATAAGGGGGGTTGAGTGAGCCACATGACCTATTGTTGCATGTGGTACGGTATTGACTGTTATTTCAATGTAATAATTGTATAGACCAGCAGGACCAAAAAGAAAACCAATTCCAGGAATAGTGTATGCCATTCTATCAGAAAAGCAGCTCAAACAGAAGCTAAAGGAATGGAAGCTATCAACACAAGGAGACAGAAAGGTAAACTAAAGAGACTCATTGCTATTCACCATTGCAAGTTCAGCAATGGCACAGCTCAACTGGGATGAAATGAAAACATGGGAAGGTGCCTCTGGCAGCGACCATACAGTCCATGTATGACTCAGTAGCACAGCACTACCACCAACTAGATTTATGAAAAAACTTTGAATATTAATGCAGACAAGATATAAGCGCAAATTAAGAAGCTAAGAGAAATGACCTAAGAAGGGTACAATATTGTAGCTGAAAAATACACCAAACTTCTCTTTAATTTTCTGTACTCTTATTTGTAATACTTTAGTGCATTACCTAGCAATTTCTTTTGCAGTTTACACATGCTTCAATATCCTGTTTTCTTTATAATGTTAAAAATCATTATGGATTTTTTCTTCAGACACTGATCAAAAGGCATCAAGATTTTGTGGTAGCATATAATGCACAGTGTGACTCTGTGAATCCCAAACCAGGTATATATTGTTCCTTCTTCAGCCAATCTATTCTGTTATTGTGCCCCCCTCATAATATGGTAAAGCCAGTTATTGTATTACGTTGGTTATTGTATTTATGAGTAATAAAGTCTGAGGCTGTGTTTCAGCCATAAGATTAACCTAAAAAATTTCCATAATTGCTAACAACTGCGAAGTCTGCATAATAATGATGAGGATGACAATGATAAGGATAATAAGGATGATGATGATGATGATGACGGACCATGATGACAATGATGATGATGATATGTATACCATCATTCATGGTTATTTAAGTTCTCTGGTTTAGTGTTACATGTTTTGATTCTGCAGTTTCAGCAATTGTTAAAGAACTTGAGAATAAAGAAAAAAGAAATACAAAGCTKTTAAAGGCTACCTCTACTGTTCCTGTAAGTGCAACATAGGATTCCTTTAGGTTTAATGCATGAGCAACATGCCAGCTTCTATAGCAGATCTGTATACATCATGATTAGCATGATGGACATATACCCTGGGAGCAGAGGTCCTTTTCTATCCTGCTAGGAAACAAGATGTTGGAGAGACAGGTCTTTTTTCCTCTTGCTTCCTAGCAGGTTAAGAAAGGTCCTCCACTTGCATTAGAGTAATGGCTATATACCCTGGGAGCAGAGGTCCTATGTTGGAGAGACAGGACTCTCTTCCTCTCACTTCCCAGGAGGTTAAAAAAGGACCTATTTGTAGTGGACATAATTTTCCTACTAAAAACCATTTATGAAAAATACAATGCTTTATATTTTATTATATATGTTTACTTCAGAATCTAAATAGAGATGCGACTGAAGAACAAGTGGAAAAAGTGCACAAACAATATTGTAAGTTTAGCTTTCTCATGACCAATAATAGTTAACTCAGGAATATTCTACACCGTCTCCACTTTATGCATAACCATCAGTGGTTGTGTTAAACTCGCTCCTTTGCAGCCGTTCTTAGGGTCGTCACGCAACATTTACGGCTGCAAAGGAGGCTAGGGTTGTGTTATTTCAAAAATAGTGCATTCTTACAAACACACATGCAATTCACATCAATTTTTTTCAAAATTTTGATGTGTCCCAAACTTCAGTCTCAAACCTTATTTTATCAATAATGGTAACAATTAACAATACAAGCCCAAAAAGGATGTCGGTAGTGTATTAGCCAACCACATACCATTGGCATACTCTGATGTCTTTACCATAATCCTACTAACACCTGCTTATCAGCAAGCAACGAAAATTGTAAAGTATTTCAGTGCTGTTGCTTACTATGCATGCATTACATCTTTCTCTAATGTTTAGTTCCAGAAATTATGCATACCCCCCACGGATGTATTTTTTAGACGCCACCCCCACCCATGGAAATTCAAATTTTCTTCCATACAAACTCTGTAATTTTGTTCTTTCTTGTGACCCCCCACCCCTTGGAAATTCCTAAATCCTCTGGGGGGGAGGGGGTATGGATAATTTTTGGAGCTACACAATACTACCAGACTTTGATATTGTGTTATGATATTTTTAAAATTGCAGTACAAGAAAATAAAGGTCAGTTTGAAAAACTGATAGATGAAATAAAGGAAAGAAAGCAGACAGGAAACACACTTGATGATAAATCTAGTACAGAATCGGTTGTTATTATTGATGATGAGGACTCGAAGAGCAGCTCGTCTTTTGGAATCTTTCAGCAGATTGACACAGAAAATAAAAGTGAAAATAAAAATGCCCAGCAACTTCATTCAAAGGATCAAAGAAATAAGAATTGCAGCAAATCTTCACCAGAAGGCAACTTGAGAAAAGAAGAAATATCTGCAGCATTTCAATTAAGTGAAAATAATCAAAAGCGAGTTCCTGAACCACCTTTAATGTCCAATCTTGCTTCTATAAATGAGAGTGATTCTGATAATGAGGATACTGATGGTGCAGAGGATGTTACTGTCCATGAGGGTAATGGTGATGATGGTGATGAGACAGAGGATGATGAAGGTAATGGTGAAGATGGTGATGAAACAGATGATGACAAAGATGATACTGATGATGAGGGTAATGACAGTGATGGAACAAATGAGGACAAAAGTGATGAAGATTGGCAATTAACACCAGCATTTGGAAAAGCAAGCAGTGATGAGGTTTGTAATCATCATCATGTGATTAAATGTCCCTGAAAACTGAGGGAGGTTTGTTGAAGTCCTGTAGTCTGTGTAGCAGCTCTCCGGCACAGCTGGGGACTGGAGAAAGGGGGGCCCTTCCTTTTCTCTCCCCAACTCCGGAGGGCCATTGTGCAAGCAAGAAGTCTTGATGCCATAGGCATTTCCCTTGCCCCTCCAAAAAAGTACATCTAGTAGGGTCCAGTAATGATTTATATTGAATACATGTAGGTATTTAAAAATACCTTACTGCATATAACCAAAACCATCAAGAACCCAAACACACAGAATGAAGGTTTTTTTTGTTGATCATAGGAATACAATGAAGAGGAAAATGGTGAATCTGATGAAGACTTGTTTGCAACCACTCCAAGGTATTCATTAAACGATTGATTTTATCAAACCCTTATAAAATCTCTGAGCTGATCAAAGGCAGGGCACTCTTAATAACAGATCAACCTGAAACAACCTCTGGGCTGATCAAAGTCCGGTTATGACTTACTCACATATCAAATTGAGATTTAGTGTGTTTCTGCAACTCCACCCATGTTTTATTATAGAAAGTTTATCTAGTTAACACTTAGTGAAAGCTCGTCATTCCACAGGTCACCCAACTCCCAAGCAAATAATAACTTGTAAGGATAATCTGGGATTTGATTTTTTTTTGATATTGCAGACGGTGGACCAAAACAAGATCTTTACGAAGAAAAAAGAAATAAGGAATCAAAAAAATATCTGGTTAGTCGTATGGCACCTTTTGGACTTGCAAGAAAGTAGAGTCTGAAATGTGGAAACCTTATGCCCAAGATATAAGCATGTGGATAATAACTTTATAGAATATTTGTATAAAATGTAAGTAGATATTTTTTATAAGCTGTAGCATATAATAACTCATAGTCCTGGTGACTAATAAAATTTCTCAATTTCATGATGCTCAAAAGAAAAATTGCCTTCAATTAACACCCAAAGTGACTCTAATATTAGAGCCAGTTATTTACGTGACCCACTGATCTGTAAAACATCGACTGTTAACTGGACCGTTTCATAATTTAATTCACTCAACTATTGCTGTTTTTTTGTATTTAATGTTAAATTATTCCTCCATCACTTTATAATGACAACGGACGATGTCGAAATGTCGTAATCTTCTAGCGTTTGTCTTTCTATTGAATTTCATTTCTAAGTCCAAGCTGATCAATTTCATAAGAAAGATTTTTTCCTGTGAATCAGCAAACTTGTTGTGTAGTGCTTGTGTAGCAACGACAAGACTCCAAATTATGCAATAGATTAATATAGAAGCTAACAAAGAGTACAACAAGTTTCTATCATACAATAAAAGAAGTGTAAGGCATTTCCTAAGTGCTTTAAATTATTACTGAACAGAGCGTGGAAAAGCTGTTTTATTTGTTTTACTATATAGTCATTAATTCTATTTTGGTATTGAATTTTTTATGTAAAAAGAATGATGATCGCAGGATGTAGCAGCATCACTAATAAAGCTCAGTTTTCGACCAATCAGCATGCACTTACTATTCTAACTATATTATAAACACAAATATATACTCAACTTATTAATAAAGCAAGGAGTGGGGAGGGTTGGGGAGCTTGCGAATGTTCTTGAAGGGATTGCAGAGGTTTTTGAAATTATTGCATGCAGTGTGTGGATGCATGCGATGTGGTGGGGGGACACGGTGGGATTTTAAATATTGCTAATTATGCAAGAAAGTCAAATGTTATGTCATTCAATCATATTTTTTATATKAATTTACTACAAGACCAAATAGTTAATGTCAGGCAAATGCAAGTGATTAAAATTGAGTGCAACTCACCTAGTAGATTGTTGTTTAGTAATTCTAGAACGTTTGAAATTGCTTCAGTTGCTAACATATATAACATAACATTTAGAGGGCACAAAATAAAGGCCAGTTAACAAACAATGTCTGGTCAGGATTGACACTTGCCCAAGTAAACACCTCTTTATATAAGGCTGGTCCTTTTGATTGGCGCCATGTCAGGGGTGGGTCCAGGGGTGAATAGTCACCCCACTTTTTGGTCAAATTTCTCAGTATATCGTTAGTAACAGTCACCCCCTTTTTTATGGAGTTCTTGTTAAAACCTTCATAATAGTCAAGTCCCTTCTAAAATTCTTGGATCTGCCCCTGCATGTGTTGATCAGTCTGATGTGGCTGGTTATTTCTGGCCATAGAGCTAGCACCCATTTAGTATAGAGTGGCTATCGTGAGGGAAGTGATTGGTACTTATTTATGACACATGACCTGGTTTCTCGACAGTTTCCACATTTAACTGAATAGGTAATTATGGCTATGGTATATGGCTAGCTACAAAATGCCAAATGAAATCCATTCCATACCTATTTGAGTCATTTTATAATACAAAGAGTAAAAGACAGAATCTCCTGATAAGGTAGTAATGTCAAGGTTTTCATTAAGGGTCTGAGATGCCCAGGGAATGCTTGGGTAATGGGTCAAAATTCTCCAGCTTATACTATCCTGATATTCTCATGTTTGAAAACTTAATGAAAACCCTGCCAGGACTCTCTGGCTATAGTTCATGATCTATTTTCAAAAGTTAATGACACCCCTAAAATTAATGTGAGTAGAGCTTCTTAAAGGGTCCCTTTTATCCAAAGAAAAATTGAGGAATAGAAACTACTGTGAAACCTACTATATGGGTAATCATGTACTTTATGACTGGCTGACGTGTCAGTTGACACCTGGCCATTTGTTGGCCAAAATTCATCAGCTGGTAAAGAGTTAGTGAAGTATTGAATGATGATTGGCCAACAGCCCTGCAATAATTATCCTAACCTGGTTTAAAATGGGTGTTTCACGACTACCTTTGCATCTGTTACAAAATATTATACAAGACTCTTTAAATATACACTAGCTGTAGTATTCTTAGTAAAACTAACGTTGAATTGGAAGAACTAATTTTCTCTTAGACCTAATTATGGCTGGCATACGACCAAGATCTGGAGTTTCTATCGTTGTCTTCAACAGCAGTATCACTTTGATACAGTCATGGGCTACAATATTAAAAATACACTGTATAATCACATAAAGCTAGCTATTTATAGAAATTATGAAAGATGCTAAAACCTAAAAATGTCACTAATGTCATGAACTGTCTTCTACTGTTGTGCCGTTGCCTATACATTCTAGTGACACATTCGATGGACCAGGGTCGTAACTTCCCTCCGAAACTGGTGAATTTCCTTCAGGAGTACCAGATGGTGAACTACCAGGTTTTAAAAGTTTATAATCTGTTATTATAACCGTAACACTGCCGACAGTAACCGCCATATGTTGTGCACTGTCTCTGTCCACATTGTTGAGTCTTGGTCTGAAGATATGAAGATTATTGAAAACATATGAGTCAAATAAGAGACTATTATCAGGGTTCGTGCTACTCCTTGAAATCCTTGAAAAGCCCTGGAATTGAAAACACGTTTTCAAGGGCGCTTGAAAAGCCCTTGAAAAAAGGGAAAAACGCCAAAACTCCTGGAATACTCCTTAAAGTTAATGCAAACTTAATGCTATTTCTAACTTTCCTTTTAAAATAAATAATGATTAAAATTGATTTAAGAGTTTCTGGGTGCTTGTTTATTGGTTGGTTGCGTGTCATCGTTTTTTATTGGTGGATGTGGCCCCGGCGGAATTAGCTGCACTGTCCTGCACCGTAACATTGAATCAATGTTTAAACCATGTTCTAATACAAAAAACTTTGTCCTTGAAAATCGAATTTTTGTGCTTGAAAAGTGCTTAAAAAGTCCTTGAATCTTGTAACGAAAATGTAGCACGAACCCTGATTATGCAAATGAAAAAAAGTGAGGCCATTCTCCCTGAGCTTAAGCCTAAAGCACAGCTTTAACAGTGAAAAATGGATAATCTTACCTCATTTTTCTATTATTTATTTTTTTGTTTGGTGTTTTCTTGAGAGGTAGAACAGGTGAATATTGTTGAGCTACTTGTTGTGCTACAAGCTGAGCATTTATTCTAGGTTTCCTAGACAAAACATAAATGAAATCTCACTCTTACACCTGAGGGCCCGGTCGTACGAAGCCTCCTATTCAACGGATAAATCTTATCCAGTGGATAAATTTATTGGATAACAGCATCGATTTATCCACTGGATAAGGATTTATCCACTGAATAGCGCTACCCAGGCTTCGTACAACTGATCCCAGTTTTCAATATATCGCAAACTCAGTACAGTGGAGTCCTTTTAAGTCGTACTTCCTCAAGATTATGGAAAAGTTTAGAGTGCATTCAGTCAAACTGTTAAATAGTGTACGTCACCTAAATTAGATAAGTAAATTACTATTTTAGCTGATGTCACCTAAATTTGAAACTACGAGTAAACAGCTACTGAGATCAGRGGGAGAAACGATGATACAAATGAATGTCTATTCACTCATTCTCTGGTAAAACAACCCCCCGGGTTAGCATGACCGTTATTTGGCGCGCTTTTACTATTTTAGGTGACGTCAACTAAATAGTTATCTAAGTTAGATACATTTATCTAACTATTCAATAATTTGACTGAATGCACTCTAAAAATAAAGGACTACTTTAATGATATGGCAGTCATCTTGGATCGCAAGGAATTATGGGGCATCCAGGGGATGGGGCAAATATGGGAAAACACATCTATATAGATACAAGTCAGACAAAGATTGCATTCTCAATGGAATTACACATGATCTAAAATGGGAAAACATGCATTTTACATTGCTGTAAAATGAGAATTATTTTTAATCTGAAAGCCATTTAACAAGTGTGGTATCTAGCACATAATAAATGGATACAGTATTACTACATGTAGACTGAAATAAATCGGATTCCAACACACACATACTAAAGCCACTTCAGTGTTATATCAGCTCGTAATGTAAAGAATTAGCTTTCAGCACAATTAATGCATGCTCAAACAAAACCACCGTCGCTGTGAGCTAAGCATATATTTACGCATCAAGGTTTTTTGTACAGCACCTGTAGAAATGGTTTATATAAATTTCCAATACTAGGGAAGCCACTTCAGTGTCATATCAGCTCATTAGCTTTCAGCAAAGAGAATAAATGAATGCTCAAACGAAACCATGCTGTAACTTAATCATACATTGGCGCAGAAATGGCTCATATTCCAATGCCAGGAAGCCATTTCAGTGTCAAAGTGGAGTGACGTAGCTATGAGAATATTTAATAAATGCCTGTTGAAACAAATCTATGCATTGATTTATCCTACCCATGTAAAGAGAACACATTCTAACCTCAATGATGAAGCCATTTAAGTGTTATAGCAGCTTCATGATTCAGTATTCTTACCTCATGTGCATCGGCATAAAATAAATGCATACTGCATCCAAACAAAACCACTTAACATTTCATTATATCTGCACAATTAGGCACCCCCCAAAACACATTCCCAGTGACAACGACATTCCAGTACTATATTACCCCCTTTTATTAGATTTTTGAAATATAATGCACACAATGATTGGCTGGTTACCCTGTTTATATCGGAGGACAGAGACACGCTAGCTCAAAATAGTTCAAAAATATTTTGTAAGAGGGACATTTAACAGCTGTAGGAGCTACAGAGCACTTGAGAAGCAAGAAAAACACTTGATAACACATCATTTTCTTAAGCTTATTTCTCTTATGCCCACAGCTCCCAGCGTGTGTAAATCACATTACAGAAGCATGCACACACATTTCATATTCCTTTAATACTGGCCAATGATGAACAAATTATGAGTATATTCAAACTGTGACTTCTCCTACACAAAAGGTTATGCATACAGCACATATAGAAATGGATCCAACCACAACAATGAAGGGGGAAGACATTTCAGTGTTACAAATTGTCAAACAATAGAAAACCCAACCTACACATAAAACACTTTCAATAATGGCAACAATTAATTAAGAACGGTTGTATAATGAAATAATAACATAATGATTAAAAATAATTCATTGGCATCATTCCCATGAGTGCTTCTAGCTTTTCTTTCACTAAATGTTTTCTTTTATCACCAATGAGTCTGTCTGCTTCATACAGAACCATCTGCCATGTTGGCATTGATCCAAAAAAACCTTCCAATTCATATGTCAATGGAACATGTGCACGGTATGACACTTTAGCCCTATGCACACTGCTACAAGGAAATTAAACAATCACTTTTAAAACTGTCCAATTAAGTTCTATATTCATAAACTCTTGATACCATCGATACTTCTTAACAAACTACCCTATAGGGGTGTATATATATTTATATATTTCATATATATTCTCATAAGCATATATATACAAGGTAGCATGCATAAATATACTAATATGTACAAACATAGATGTTCTTTGATTAATGTTTCCTTGTGAATAAATAAACTTTGAACTACGAAGCAGAAAAGAAAATAAATGGTTGTTTAAGTTTCATCAATATTTTTTTTCTGGAAATATTTCATGTGGTGCTCGAACAAAAATAAAGCTCTTTCCTATTGTTAAACTCCAAGTAGCTGAGTTATTTAGTTCTATAAATAATAAATAAATGGCCCAAGGTGTTAATGAAAGACTTAAAGATTTTTTACAATCTTATCAAGTGATTTTTCTAAAGGATTTATGTAAGTACGCGGAAGAATGAGTTGACCTATRTATCTTTTGAGCTACCAGAGGTCGAATATCAGAGGAAAAGAGTTATAAACAAGTTTAGCCATGCATATATATGGATCTAAACATCATAAACAGCTGGTTTATATAATTAAGACAACTGCTTTAGAATAATAACGTTAAATAAATAAGACTATCTTGTTTACAAAGATAAGATCCTCTCTCTGATAAATTGGATAAAGGTTATTGAGTTGAAACTGCAAAATAATCTGACAGATAACCGGTCTGGAAGTGAAGCTCTTTGAGCTTTGTTGATGCTTTCTCAGCTTCAACTCGAGGTGTTTCTACCGTACCAGGTTTTCATATGGGGACGAAAATAAAGCAGAAAACATGGTGCAGTTGTAGAAGATGGTGTTAATAGGAAAAGCCGAGCACAAACTCCAGACTGTCTCAGTGATTAACCCAAGTTAACTTAGAGGAAAGAACCTCGTGTTCGCCTTGCATTTTCTAATCAAGATTGTACTGAATGTTGAACCACAACTAACAGTGCATAATTAATAAGAAAATATCCCCAAATCAACTATTTACGCTGATGTTTAGCAAGAGATATTTTGTGGTAGTTTGTTTAGTGAGAAAACCATTTGTATGCCAACAACCATGCAATGATCAGAATATGAACAAGTTTCATATGTAGCATACCTTGTTGAAGTACCCTTCCTGACGTCGCACATGGCGCATTTAAAGGCTTCAGAAGTATTTCGGTATGTACAAACACTACAATCCCAGTAAGCTTCATCTGATATTTGCTTGACGAGTTTCGCTTTGAGTCTGTAGAGGAAGATCGGATTAGAACATGACATAGACTCGACCCTCTTACTATGCATTTACGTCAATATTACACACCAAAAGATGAACAACGAGGAATCCCTGGATAACCATAACCCCAGGAGAGCATAAATGAATAAAATACCAAACTTCCAGTTAAAAAATCCTTCTATAACAACTCAGAAGTTTAACCTTTATCAATGTATAAAGTGTCTATCTGCAAAGCCATTTTTAGTGCCACGGCCATGTGCCACATTTCGCGCGAAAAATTCCTGGCAATCGCGAGACTGATTTTCCCCAAAAATTGCCTCCAAACTTCAAAAGGTATCTATACTCTGTAGATACTTACTTATTTGGACTTTTTTTGTCACCTTTTTCGTCCATATCTCTTCCAAACGCAGTTGGCTTGCAATGCCATGCAAGGCACAGTTTGTAACTACTGGGTGATAGACTATGATCAAGTTTTGTATACAGAGACAGACCGATCACTGGTCAACCAATCAAATGTCTCGATTCATAGACAATAGTTTACCATATAAGCGGTATAGCTATTTTGAGGTATGTTGGATTCGTGGGTTACCTGTGTGTGGAAAAATGCTTCTATTTTTGGAGGAGGGAGGAGTGGGTAAGGATTCAGGAGAAATTCCAGAGGGGTTTTGAAAATTATTTCCGAGTTCAATGTGTGAATCTCAATTTTAAGGGCCACTTCCCCCACTTTTTACGAGAATGAAATCTTATCATTTCAGTGTCTTAAAAGTTCTATGCGAAAAAATAAATTCTGCCCCCCCCTCTCCCCCATAATAAAATGTACTCCGCCCACCCTTGTTTTTTTTCCTGATTAAATTTTTACATTTGTTTCTTGGCTTATCAGATAGAACGTTTTTTTTTCATTTCAGACAATGTGCCATTCCCTTGAGTATTATTTCTTTTCTTCCAGTAGTATCCCAAAGAACTTTGGAATGAGAAAACAATAGACTCAGAAATCTTTAGAAAGAAACTCTCTTTTACATGAAAAGTTAAAGAAACATTTAAAAAAATTGTAYGAGTAAGTTTGGCACAAATTCAAAGCTTGAAATGAATTTTTATTTAAGTGACTACTTGATATGTTTACTTATTAAAATATAAGCATACTGTGCATATTGACATATATAAATACTCCTTGCATTTGATGCCAACTATAGTTAAATACCCTGGTATAAAGCATGCTATATATGGTAATGCCTTACAATGCAGAACAATAGACCCATGTGGGGTACTCTTACATAATGAAGGGAGGGGATGATATCTTTGAGGGGAGTGAAATCTTAAATCACTTCCTATTTTAGGGGTGAAAAAATTAATGTCATTAATCAATTGTATTAAATAATTTATTTTATTTTATAATTTAATAATTTATTTTATGTTTCAAAGTGCTAATATTCAACCAGGACCACACCCAAATTCTCTTTTCCCTTTATGATCGTCTGCACCCTTTTTACATTGGAGTACCCCAGCTGGACAATAGAACTTTTTTTCTGAATTCACTTGAGCCATTCCCACATAACAAGGACTCCAAATCAAGGCTGGACTGGACAAGATAAACAGTATTTTATATGAACCCATCTATTCATACAAACTTTGACTAGGAACCTTTGGTTAGTGGGCACTTAAGCCAAATTATTCAGGAAACGTCTATTGAATTCACCCTTTCCAAAGTTCAAAGCTCATACAGTATTGGAATATATTGGGGGATGAGTCCATTTAGTTTCCCAAATTCTAGCCACTCAAACCAAGTCTTTTCCACTTTGAAAAGGTGAATTCAATAAAACCACCTCTAAGAGCACTACTGTTCACAGATGCAGACAGCCAATTTATTACCTTGATGCAAAAAATGAAGCGTGGTTGCTTATGAATTTAGATACATACTTAGGGGGATTCACTGTGTGGAACAGCAACTGCTAAGCAATCTCTCAAAAAAGACAGCAGTAATCCCATGTAAGCTAAACTCTTAAAAATTCCTTTAAAGAAACTTGAGCTTTTGGCAGATGCAGCTTTCTGCCTTTGAGATAGGTAAACACCCCTCCCCCAAGCTGCTTTATGAATCACTTTGACTGTTAAAAGGCTTTTGCTCTAGCTAAATCAATGAAAGGCAAGAATATCACCCAATCAGGCTGTCAAATGGCTTCCACTCTAGCTAAACCAATCAAAAGCGAGAATACCTCCTACTCCAGCTGTCAAATGGCTTTCACTCTAGCAAAACCAATCAAAAGCGAGAATACAACCCACTCCAGCTGTCAAATGGCTTCCGTTCTAATTAGACTAATGAAAAACGAGAATACTACCCACCCCAGCTTTCAAATGGCTTTTACTCTAGCTAAACCAATCAAAAGCGAGAATACGACCCACTCCAGCTGTCAAAGGCTTCCGCTTTAGTTAAACCAATCAAAGGCAAGAATAGCACCCAATTGTATCCGTAAATTTTCAAAAACGGTCCCCAGAGTGGACATTTTCGAATACGCTCCGAATACGGATACGTGTGGACGGCAAATTTTCGAATACGCTGACGTAAACACGATTTTGCGTATGCTCAATAAGAAAAACTATCCGTCAAAGGGACTAGACACTAAGGTGCATCAGGGCGGATCAAGAAATTTCTGGATACGTGTAGCCAGTGAAAACGATTCGAAAAGGATTCGAATACGCTGCGTGTGGACGCGAACATTTTCGTATCCGCAAAAAAAATTGCGGATACAAAAATTTCCGGACACGTGTGGACGGGGCCTCAATCCCTCTGTGGAATATCTTTTGCATTGCTTAACCAACCAAAAGCAATAAAAGCATTATGTGCGTTACTCGCGTAATTAAGTGAAAAATTCGTTTTAAGGAAGTGCAGGTGTCAAAAGATTATAGATTTTCTTGCTGTAGGAGTGGAGCATTAACCTAAAAGAAAAAAGATTTGAAATTAGAGAAAATTAGCGAGCTGACGAGGACAAAAAATGACTAGTACTGATGAAAAGAACCCCGGAGGAAAATTAAAGTGCTTATGAGCCTTTACACAATATTTTCAGAATTGATTCTTTAAATAGTGAATAGTTGATTGTGAAAATAATTCGTCATTTGAATGTCGGGTCTTTGAGATACGAAGGTTTATATTTCCAATATGTTAATGCTATGACGTAACATAAGGGATTTCAGTTATTTTGTGGCAACTTTTAAGATTGAACGCTGGACATTTTTTGAAAACAAATTTGTAAGAACCTTTACGTGAGTCACGAGTAAAAGGGCGATGCTTTTAAAATACTGTATTCCAGAACGAGCGCAGTGTTGTATATTAAATGATCCCTTCTGTTACGTCATAGTCATTAGCATATTGGGAATATAAACCTTCGCATCTGTGTAAAGGCTTATAAGCACTTTAAGAATTATGAAAACAATGTTTTACATTTTTGTTCCTTTCCTGCAGGAAGATCTCCGTCTTCTACTAGATTCAACTGAAAAAGCAAAAGAAAAACGCTATTTAGTTTCGTTTTATTTAAAAGTTATTGAGTAATTATTGCTGAGATGAGGTTGAACATGCCCAAGAGATGTGGAGGTCAAGAGATGTGGAGGTCAAGTGATGCGGGGGTCAAGTGACGTGGAGGTCAAGAGATGTGGGATGACCATGCATTGCATTAAGGTGTGGTCCTCTCCCCCCTCAATATCTTACTCGCTTACTTTCTCATCGCCCTTGACCCCCATCATTTACACTACCCTTATTGTGCGCCTAATCATACATGCACTCTAGATTTCTTTAAATTTAAAGAGTATGCATAAGAAAAAAAAAGTTCACATCGTTTAAAATCTCGTGTTTTCAGGCAAATCATTATGCATTGACGAAAGACGGAGATATCCCGGTATATTTTTTTACGAACAGTTCACGACACGGTATCGTAACGTGATCAATGATCATCCAATCAGAATGCTGGATATGCGGCACAATCCCTGTAAGTCGACACCTCCATCACGCAAGTGTTTTGCCATACAAATCTGTGACAACTTAAACATGTGATTTGAACCATCGCGTGTTCTTTCCCAATCAATGATCAAACTATTGGGATGCTTGGAAAAGCGGCACTGTGCCGTAGGGTTGTTACATTCCTGCTTCTCCTTAAAGAAGCTTTGCGTCATCGAGCGATGGTAGCCATGGCAGTTGGCAAAACAATAGAGTAAAACTATTTTTCTCCTGAAAAACTCCCCTGGTAACAAAATAACTGCTGACCGCAAAGGAACGCAGACTAGGACACTTCCGCTAACAGATTATTTTACCATTCATCAAATCTTTTTGAGGGTAACTCGCAACAAAATTAAGAAAGTAGCATTAATACGAGTTTGACAGTGAAACGCAATGTAGATCGTTAGTTTGCGATTTTAGCAAATGACTTATAAATATATGATATTATTATATAAATTTAAGTTACCACATTGTCAGAAGATTCTCCCTTGCTTGGTGGTTCTTTGAATTCCATGTAAATAAGATTGCTGAACTCCGTGTGTTCTGGGTCGCTGAAAGGCTGTCAAAGAAATTACAATTAGGGGAACAGAAGAACAAAATGAGGGGAGGAAGGGAAGTGGAAAAGGAAGGAAAGGAAGGAAAAAAGGAGAGAATAGAAGGAAGAAATAAAGGAAGACATGGTAGGACAGGGGAGTTAGGAAAGAATGGAGAGAGTAAGGAGGGAAAGGGAGAAGGGGAGAGAAGGAAAAAGGGAGAGAAAAGTGAAGGGAGGAAGAAAGAGGGAAGCAAAGAAAGCAACTTACTGCTTGTAGTCCAGGCCCTTCATGGACCGTAATTTCCCTGGGTCCAGGTTCCGATGTGTCGCCATACATAGGATTTTCATATGAGAAGGAAGGCGCATTATCTTGAAACACTTCGCTGTCGTACTGCACCGTTTCATTCTCCTATGAGTAGAGCCAGAAAAAAAACAACAACAAACGAGTAGGTGAGACATGAAGACGCTTTTCAAGTAAAGTCTTCATTTTCGCATCTACCTTTCAATCGGTTGGTATGCCTGCCTGTCTGTCTGTCTGTCTGTCGGTCTTTCTGCCTATCTATCTTTCTTCTTGTTTATTCGCCTTTCTGCCTGCCTGCTTGTCTGTCCATCTATTTGTCTATCTGTCTGTCTTTCTTCCTGTTTATTCGCCTTTCTGCCTGTCTGTCTATCTATCCGCTTTTTTTTTTTTTGTCTGTCTGTCTCACCCTTACCTTGCGATATCTAAACGACGGACTTGGCAAGGAGACTTTCTTCCTGAAGTACCAAATGACACCAGCAAAAACTGCTATCACCAAAATCAAAGTAACGACGATTGCAGCAACTTTTCCACCGGACAATCCTTCATGGCTCTGGGAAAAAATTGGTTATATTGAATTTTATCAGGTATTTTTTTAAACTAACAAACAGAAGAATGATTGCCATAGCTGAAAAGAGCATGTCCAAATCAGTAAACTGTGAAGGTTTGAAGGAAATAGGTTCAAAACTCGTGAAGATATGAATTTTTGAAAAGTGTGAATTTCGTGAGAAAACTATTTCTGGTATGTTTCTAGTATCTCTTGCCTACTAACGATTGTTTTCATATAAGATTATATTTCGTTATTATGAGCTGACTCAAATCATTATTTCGAAGGATTCTGGATTCGCCCAAAGTAGGAGGGTTAATCAGAAGATTGACACTAACCTTGGCACGCTTCCCAAACACTCCAGGCTGTTAAAAAATACAAAATACAAATATAAATAGTTCTAGATTCTAAATTTGCCCTATTCACTTCGTTTTCGTGTATTGGAGGTTTTATAACCTTATTAAATAGATAATATGAATGTACTGCTGATCGTACCTTGGTGTTATTGGTGGTTGGTTCAATAGTCACCTGGGGAAAAAACAAAGGAAACCTTTTATTACAATCAACCATTATAAACCACAGGTAGTCCATGTTTGCTGTTCGTGTCCCGTTATACATAAGGAAACCTTAAACCACGGAACAATAAAGGGTTGGAAAGTTAGCAGTAATGCTGGATTGCAAAACAGAGGAATCTCTCTCCCCTCAGGACCTAAAATCTTTTGACGAATTTTCTTCCTCCAATATGGCTGTGCACAGATGTCATTAGGGAGGGTCACACAACGTATTCCGGAGGGAAACATTGCGTGACGACGTGAAGACCCTAAAGACGTCTGTTTCATAGGGAGCTAATATGACTCCTGTACTTAAAAAATAATATTGCAAAACTTCTAAAGAGTCAAGATACAACTCGTACTGCTGTGAAATGGTACGGCACAAAACAAAGTCACGGTACGGTAATGACGAAGATCTGTGAGCCAATCACAGAGCCGTAAGGTTACTGCTTAGCCGATGACATCACACTGTAATTGTCACGGCACGATATCGTATACCGTGAGGGTTTCACATTCACACTAAATTTGCTCTAACATAACATCAGTATTAGTCATTCCGAGGTGGTGGAAAAACTAGTGTCAAGTTGACATTGCAGTGCATTGTGGGACTGTTTAGGGGACATATTTCCAAAATGAAGTCTATTTCTCTAAAATAGTCACACAATGTATTGCAATACCAACTCGACCCAGTAGTTTTTCCTCAACCTTGTAATGGCTAATGATGCATGCACAAGACACACTGATGGCACGCAACATTTAGAAGTGAGGTTTAAATTTAAAGAATATTATGTATGAGGTACCCCAGTTGACGAAGTCAAAATAGAAGCCGTAGTGTATTCCCCAGAGGTTGCCTTCTTTATGGTAGTTTTAGATGTAGAGATTAGAGTTTTGTCTGTAGTGTATCTGTAAAGGAAGGCTTATCAGCCCCGCCCACGAACACTTTATTTTTGTATCTATTATTAGTTACGTCATATCCTTAACGTTTCACTTAGTTACAACACGTCTCAATTCCACTTAGCGTTAGTATTAGTGTATGAAGTYGACGAGAACACATCTATTCGTGATCAAAGAGTTTAGAGTAGTTTTTTAGTTATCTTTGTTGGAGCAATAACCTATATCTTAACCTCGGCAAGCGGGACTGTTATTTTACGACAAGTTCTTGGATTGTAATAAACTTCAATTCGTCGTCAAGTGCTGTCCGTAAAATTATTCCCGAAATCTCCTCAATTACTTGTAAGCCCGTTCACGCGCGATAAAGTCGTCGTATTATTCGTCCGTGTCGGCATTTACAGTATCGTTGAGTAGAGGATTTAAGTGTTGGTAGTGAAGATTTATTGCTTGTAGGTTGATTAGTGGAGTGTGTGGTTGTAGTGGGTTGATTAGTGGAACGTGGTGTTGTAGTGGGTTGATTAGTGGTACGTGGTGTTGTAGTGGGGTGGTTAGTGGTGTGCGTGGTTGTAGTGGGGTGGTTGGTGGTATGTGGTGTTGTAGCTGTTGTTTTAGGTAGAGTGGATGGACGCTTTGTCGAAGGAAGAGACGTTATCTGATTACAGATGAAAAAGAACAAGACATTACTTTAGAAAGGCTTGAAATGCATTGCAAACTACTAGTTAAAGAAGTAAAATCGAAAGTAACGAATATAGGAAGAAATGGATGGATGTATATAAATAAAAGACGAAAACTAACAAATATATCCATATATATTTTAAGAAAAATTACTATCCTATTCTTACCGTTGTCTGTTGTGTAGACGATGAAGTTCGTTTTGTGGGGGGAGGTGTTGTAGAAGATGTTGGTGTTGTAGAAGATGTTGGTGTTGTAGTGGGTCTTGACGTTGTTGAAGGTGGTGGGGGAACAGGTCCAGTAATCTGTAATTATAAATAATGATAAACCGATTGAGCGACCGACTGACCGATTAAGTGACTCATTGACCGATCAGCTAACTAGCACACTGTCTGAACGACCGACYGACCGACCGACCGACCGACCAACTAACCGACTGACACACTAACTGACCGACTGACTGACTGATCAATATGATAAAACTTGAATGCAGTGTTCTTACCGGTACGATCTGATCCACAACAAAGATGACACCATTAGTAGCCTGGATATCTGTAAGGACATGAGCTGCACCATTGATCAATATATCGCCCTGTATCAAGCAAAAAAACACAACATGGTTTGCTATGAAAAAGCGGTCTCATAACGACAACGCGAACACTTTTTCTTTTTTTTCTTTTCCTCGACGTGTAGCTGTATACGTCGTTTGCGCTTACAACATAACCTGATTTATAACTTTTCAGACTGGAATATTACGGCGCTTGGAAAAGAGTGCTCGCGCCAGCCATTATTTGATCATTCAGCTGAGGATTATTGTTTTCCCATTGCAGACCACACGTGTCCCTTACGTATTGTATYCCTCGCCAGAAAAGCTTGGGAATACATACTAAGGGTAAAGGCTATACAACGAATCCTCTTGCTATACAGAACGACACGTGTCCTGGAACAGGAAAACATTATAACCAAGATAAATAGGCCTAGTAACTCACATTAGCTGCCTTTCGTATCATTATTTTGGTCCCCAGTAAGCTTGTCACAGTCGTTACATTGGATAAGATGGATAACTTGATCTTGGATGGTACAATGTGGTTCTTGACCATAGTAAGATTAAATCCCTTTACGTAAAGAAAATGCGATATTAGGACAGTGCACAGTTACTGTGTCAAGCGAACACCCTTTATTGAACGGACATCTAGTTGCAGGGTTCCAAATTTACAGTAAAACGAACGTCTATTAAGTGGACGGCACTCACACCTCTATTACACGAACACCCTTTATTGAACGGACATCTAGTTACACGATCCACAATTTACAGTAAAACGAACGTCTATTAAGTGGACGGCACTCACACCTCTATTACACGAACACCCTTCATTGAACGGACAGCTAATTGCATGGTTCCAAATTTACTGTAAAACGAAGTATATTAAGTGGACACACCTAAATCACCAAGCTATCTTCGTCAGATGCAATTGACTCCATGCACAACGGCTATATTCATATTATATAATAGAGAGCAACTTCTCCCCATAATTATAATTTAGCAATCGATCATAATTAATATTAGAAAATTTAAGGAGATTAAGAGTGATGGTACTTGATGATGTAAAATCTAATAAAGGTGTAATATAATGTCCGATAGAAACAAAAGAAAGCAATATAATTAATGTACTCCTGTTATTATTAGTTAGACTAGGAAAGGTTACATTTAACTGTGTGAAATAATATCTAATTAACAGTGAACATTGAATTTTTAAAAAAAGTGGRCACACCTCTATTACGCAGACGTCCTTTACTGAACGGACAGCTAGTTGCAGGGTTCCAAATTTACTGTAAAACGAACCACTAACTCTATCAAGTGGACATACCTTTATTACGCGAACAAGAATTCTTACACAGACACCTCTGTTAAGTGGTCATCATCATACAAGGTCCCCGAATTGTCTATTTAATACAGGTATAATGCCACCCTATTTCGAATCGTTTTCATTGATCTTTGTAACGTTACCTTGATTTTAACAGCGCTGTCTACAGGTGCAAACACAGTGAATCTCTTAGAGTCTGTCTGAAGATCTGTAAACAAAACCTTCCCTTCTCGTGACACCGAGAGATGATGTAGCACCTGTGAACAGACAAATGAACACTATTTACACACCTTTAGATGGTACCATATTCCCTTCAATTAGTTCTTTCCCCAACATGATAAAGATGTATTATGGGGATGATAGAAATAGTGATGATGATGGTGATAATGATGATAGATATGGTAATGATGGTGATGGTGATGATGATGATGGTAATGATGGTGATGATGATGGTGGTGGTGATAATGATGATGGATATGATGATGTGATG